GTGGGATGAATACCCGAACCTGCCTTCATTTGGTCAGTGGGATGAATACCCGAACCTGCCTTCATTTTTCATTTGATCAGTGGGATGAATACCCGAGCCTGCCTTCATTTGGTCAGTGGGATGAATACCCGAGCTTGCCTTCACTTGGTCAGTGGGATGAATACCCGAGCCTGTCTTCATTCTTCATTTGGTCAGTGGGATGACTACCCGAGCCTGCCTTCATTCTTCATCTGGTCAGTGAGATGAATACCCGAGCCTGTCTTGATTTTCATTTGGTCGATTCATACAAAACTTTCGTAGAATTTTGAGAAGGGAGACAAACAACTTCCTTTAAAATTGCCCCAGTGTCATGCTTATTGGACTATCAGACCTGCAACAAAAGAAATAATGATAGATAATACCGCCTCCATCCGATCAACCCCTTTTCAAGAGAAGTGTAAACATGAGCATTTGGACTCCTTATTTGGCGAAGCGGGTACTTCAATCTTGCCATGCGAGCAATATCAAGTTTTCATAATTTCTCATATGTAGACCCACGTGTCATCTAGTATCTATTTCCTTCGATAAATCATAGGGATTACCATTTGATAGAACGAAAGAGACAAATGTGACCATGCAACACATGAAAAACATTTTAATTGCACATAATGATGAAAAATTTTAACAATATAAACACAACCCTCTACTTTTATTGCATGAAAAATCATTTTAAATGAATAAGCTTGCATACTCAAATTTCATGTTTGATAAATCAAACACTTTGGTTTTCGAACAAAATGCTACACTTGACCCTTTGGATATCATCTTTTCGGAGTTCAAATGCTTGAGAACAGAACCACAATGTGAGGAGAATCTCCAATGAACTAAGTCACCAACTCTTTAGATCCACGCTCACTTTTCCTTGTAAAACCCTACCTCAGCGCCCTTTCGGGTTTTCACTAAGGTTACCCCAGCCCATTTTGTTTTCCTTTTTCTTTTTTTTCTTCTTCTTCTTTTACCTTTTTCTTTCTTCTTTTTCTTTTTCCTTTTTCTTTTTCCTTTTTTTCTTTTTTCTTTTTCTAAGGTGCCTTGCGGGTTTTCACCTAACAAACAAATCTCGTCTATCACCCATATTAATCCAAAAATGTGTTTTAAGAAATAATGGCATCAGTATAAAAATTCTTCCCTTGCAAAATAGGTGAAGATGTTTTTGACATCATGTGCCACTTGATTAGAAATTGTCCTAAAAAGGCAATATAAAGAACAGAAGTCAGGACTTTTAGGTTTTTGCAATGGAGTCTGGTGTGGGTGCTTAGAAAAGAGTTAAGGCTTGAAATCGGACTTATGAATGATTAGATTTCCTGAGATCGCATCTTTAAATTAACCCTACTAATAATTGCCCCAGTTTATTTCTCAATCGAAATCCTCCTCTTTTCATTTTTCTCTTCATTTTGTTCCTCTATCGCTTTTACCTTTTGGAACCCTCTCTTTTCTTTCCTTTTCTTTTTTCCTTCTTTTTTCTTCTTAGCTTTTTCAACTCAAAACTTGCCCCAGTATGGGGTTTGCGATTCTCAGGGGATGCCAAACGAAATAATTTGCTCTGAAGGCTCAAAAGGGATAACTAGGGATAGAATGTTTGATTGGAAAGGAAGAAGGCCTGACTTTTCATTCCATTCTTTACATTAACCCTAAAAGGAAAATTTCATTTATCATATGAAAAATTTCTTACATATATCCGAATTGGTTGGTTGAGGGAACACTTGCCCATCCATTTCTGCAAGAATGAGCGCTCCCCCGGGCAAAATTTTCTGGACAATAAAAGGGCCTTGCCAATTTGGTGCAAATTTCCCCTAGTGTAACAGCCCTACTTTCCCCTAAGGCGAACCAAAGGGGTGAGCGGACTGCCTGCCCAGCTCTCGCCGGACTCGCGATGCAGACTAGAACTATCTATAGCGATCCGGAACTTACAAACGAGCGTAAACAAGTCAAAATGGTAAAATAACCCAAAATAAAAAAATGAAATCCGGAGTCGGCCATGAATAGTAACCGACCCGTCAGAACCCAACCGAAATAGCCAACAAACATTCACATATGAACTTTAGCGTTTACAAATCAAAATGACATACAAAAGTTTTCAAAAGTTAATATATACACACGGTTTGCCAAATCAAAAGAGAAAACGCCCCAAAAGTACACTTAGGGTTTTAATACATGAGCTATACAAAAGATATGTTCAACTAGCTCAATTTGGCAGCCATTTGTCAAATCCAGACCAAAAGGGTTTATTTTCCTGTAAGGAAAACAAAAGGAACAGAAAGGGGTGAGCTTGCGCTCAATGAGGTACCAAACAGATAGCATTAAAATCATGGCATTTCACGTTTAACAAATCAGATACACATGTCAGATGTAAAGCAAAGGAACCAATGATTCAAATCAGAAGGATACGGGTGGCTCTCAGGAGCCAAATTTCCCAGCGCAGTACTTGATCCAAACCGGTTGACTCTCCGTCAACGTATATAGAACCAACGCGTCCGTAGACCCCTCTTTACACCGAATTCCGTCCACCAAAAACCCCTTTACCGGGCCCGCTCACCGTAACCGAACAGAAATGGTAATACTCGAGTATACCGGAATCAAGGGTCTCAATACCCAAAAATCCCCGAACAGACTACCGTGGTTCGTTATCTAATCGTCCAGGCCCTTGCCGGCCTGACTCGAATAACTTAGCCACAGGATTGAGCTCATAGGTCATAGAAATCCGAACAGATGCAGACACAGATAACAGATTCAGATACAGATACAGAATAGCAGATTCAGATAGCAGATTCAGACGGCAGATTCAGATAGGCACTCAAAATTGGCATATGAACAGACAAGAGAACGAGTGAGATAAAGTACACCCTCGTCTCAACAAATTAAACAGATTGCAGAGCAGAAATCAAGTTAAACAGCAATGGAGGGGAGTGGTACACTCACCGGCTCAACTTCAAAAGTTTTCACTTCAGATTGGCCTTAATCGCCAAGAAACCCTAAAATAATCAAAATAAACCAATTGAAGGTTTTACTTCCAGAATCGAGTAAACAGAATGCACATGTGAGGCTCGACTACACGTCGTACGCCTTGCCAATTAAATACTAATGCAAGAATGCAAAAACATGATTTTCTTGGAAACGAAAAGGTAGCATGAAGACCTAGGCGCAAACAACCCAAAAGCCTTTCATTCTACCCAAAAGGCAAATCCAACTTAAAGGAACCAAACGGCCTAGAAAATCGGGCAGCACTTCCCCTAAATTTCTTACTTTTCCAGCCATTAAGGCTTCATTCTATCCTCAAATCAGTCCCAACATCTCACACAAAATTCATCTCATTTCCCAAAAGCCGTTCGCTAGGCTCAAAGTGGTACAAGTACAAAAGTTAGCTAGGAAACAACCGAAATGAAAGCAAGCCCTAAAAGAGACTCGATAACGAGTCATATAGCCATACCAATTACAACCCCAATAGGGTTTTATAAACATATACAAGCATGATAGAAAACCAGAAATTAAGAAAAGGGCTTTAACTTAGGCCTTGATAAGAAAACCGGTTTTGACGTCATAATGCGGTAATGGCACAACTCTCACTACAATTATCGGATGGGGGTGTAAGACCCACCGTTTTGAAGCTATGGAACAGGGCTACAACAATGTAGAAGGTCACTGAATCCAGTTCCTAGCCCAACTAGGTCAAAAATGCCAAACACTAAACCAGAATCACCAAAACAGGTTTGCAAAACACAGAAAACTGTAATCGGTATATCTCAGTCCATACAAGTCCAAATGCCGAAATTCCAAAGGCATAAGTTAGCTAAGACATCCAGATACATTGCATCAGAAGACACCAACAACTAAATCCAAACCAATTCCAGTCAAAATGGCCAATAACCAGTACAGTTTTCGCATTCTGTCCAAAGCAGAACAGCTACAGTAATTTCGTCATAACTCATTCTACATTAATCCAAATGACCTGAAATTTTACAGGCACATCAAACACATCAATACCTAAAACGTTCATGTTTTGAGAAAAGTCAAATTCGGCCTCTAACCCTATGATCCAAAACCGGACAGAATTGGGGATTTAAGAACCCTAACTTTCCATTTTCCATCCAAATCCAAAATTAGTTGCATTTATCCACATTTCACACCCACTAGAGTCATTATAGTCCATTGCCAATCATCACAAAACAACCACATCATCATAATCCAATTAAACCAGAAAAATCATCATAAAATGGAAAACTTCACTAAATCACTTCAAACCAGAGATAAAAACCAGAAATTTCAGCACTCTTATCACTAATAAGCACAACATAAGCATCATTAGGTGTAGTAGGGTGTTTCAAGCTTCACTTACCAAGAACGAGAAAGGAAGATGTTGGTCACCTTAACTCTCCAAGAAAACTTCACTAATCAACTTAACTAACACCTAATGGAAGGATAATATGGAGTAGAATCTAGTGTAGGCAATTTATTTTGGTGGATTGAACCATATGGAAGCTTGAGAGTTGATGAAGTTCTTCCTTCTTGAGCTTGAGAGAGGGCCGCCAACACAAGGTAAGAAAATGGTAATTTTTGTGAATTTTGAGATATTTAACCTTTGGTCAAAAAAGTCAAAATTTGGAATAGTAATTCTTAAAGTCCAACCAATGAGAAAGTGACACTTGTCACCTCATTAAATGCATTCCTATCCTTTCTTTCTTCTCTCACATCAATCATTTCACACACTCTACTTCTTTTAACACCCGATAAATTCTACACAGTATCGCGGAATTTAACCTAATTGACCGAAATTTTTCCGAACTTTTCGCACTAGTGGGTCCCACGTCCACTATTTACTCTTAATTTCCTAAAATTTCTCCAATGCTAGAAAAATCATCTTAAAACTATAATTGCTCATAAAATCCACTAAGAAAATATTTCTAAACCAGAAAATGCAGAAAACATGCCATTAAAGGAAATAGACCCTAAGAAAATTATTAGGGAATTTACGGGTTCTCACACTTAGCTTCCTCTTGTACTGGCAAAATGTGTTTCAACACTTTATCTCCTTCTGTGAATATCCGTGGTCTGACCTTCTTATTGTAAGCACGGGCTACCCTCTTTTGATAACATTGACCATGACAAATGGAATTTAACCTTTTCTCATCAATTAAAGACAACTGCTCATGACGTTGTTGAATCCACTCAGCCTCCTCCAGTTTGGTTTCTATTAAAATGCGTAAAGAAGGGATTTCGACTTCGGCTGCAAAATTGCTTCCATTCCGTACATGAGATTGTAGGGAGTTGCCCCAGTAGAAGTCTGAATAGCAGTTCTATATGCATTAATGCATAAGGGAGCTTCTCGTGCCGATCACGGTGTCTCTCAATCATCTTACGGATTATTTTCTTTAAGTTCTTATTTGCAGATTCTAGCCTCCATTCATCTATGGCCTATAAATAGAGGAGTTTCGATGTTTGATTTGAACCGTTCGCACATAACCATCCACCATGTCATTGTTGAGATTTTTGGCATTGTCAGTGATTAATGTCTCTGGCACTCCAAAACGACAATATGATATGCTTCCTTAGAAAGTCTGTCACCACCTTCTTAGTCACATGCTTATAAGACTCAACTTCGACCCCACTTGGTAAAGTATTCAATTGCCCGCTAGAATAAATCGATGCCCATTTGAAGCGGGCGGGGAGGGTCAATGGCTCCAATCAGCATCCATACCCCATATTGAACATGGCCAAGGAGCAATCATACTGTGCAATTCTGTGGGGGGAGTGCGCATAACATCTCCGTGCAATTGACATTTGATGCACTTTCTAACAAAAACTACACAATCATGCTCCATGGTAAGCCAAAAATATCCGGTCCTCATGATCTTCTTTGCTAACAAGTGGCCATTCATATGTGATCCACATACTCCACAATGTACTTCTTTCATCAAGTATTCTGCTTCATCTTCATCAACACACCTTAGAAGGCCCAAATCTGACGTCCTTTTGTATACCACCTTTTCCATTTAGGAAAAATTTGGAAGACAATTTGCGCAAGAAGCTTTTAGCAGTTGTATCGGCCCCAGGAGGATAGGATCCCGTTTTGAGAAATTCCTTGATATCATTGTACCAGGGACGGCCATCGAAAGACTTTTCCACAACTAAGCAGTGAGCAGGTTTTTCTTGTAGATGAATCTGGATGGGTTCAATTACCAACTCATCTGGATGTTGAATCATTGAACATAAAGTGGCCAATGCATCGGCAAAGACATTTCTGACACGTGGAATATGCCGAAACTCCAAACTCCTAAATTTATTTGCTAACTCCACTAAGCTGCAATGATAGGGCAAGATCTTTGAATCCCGAGTGATCCACTCCTTAAGAGTCTGATGTACAAGCAAATCTGAATCGTTGAATACTAGTAAATCCTTAATCTCCATTTCTAACGCCATTTTTAACCCAAAAATGCAAGCTTCATATTCAGCCATATTATTAGTACAGAAAAATCGGAGTTTGGGCGAACCAGGATAATGCTTTCCTTCAGGCGATACTAGAACAGCTCCAATACCGGCCCCGAAGGAATTTGACCCGCCGTCAAAGAACAACCTCCACTCCGGGCATTGATCATTCATATCTTCTGCTATATCCATGAACAAGGCATCCTCATCCGGAAAATGATTGTGAAGCGGTTGATAATCATCTTTCAGTGGATTTTCAGCCAAATGGTCGGCCACAGCCTGGCCCTTGATTGCCTTTTGCGTAGTAAAAATGATGTCAAACTCCGAAAGAATCATCTGCCATTTTGCCACACGCCCAGTCGGCATAGGCTTTCCCAACAGATATTTCAAGGGGTCGGAGCGGGAAATGAGGTAAGTAGTATGACTGAGCAAGTAATGCCTCAGCTTTTGAGCGGCCCAAGCTAGAGCACAACAACTCCTCTCAAGAAAAGAATAGTTGGCCTCATACGCAGTGAACTTCTTACTGAGGTAATAGATAGCTTGCTCCCTCTTCCCCGATTCGTCGTGTTGTCCCAATACACATCCCATAGCTCCGTCCAACACCGATAGGTACATGATCAAAGGTCACCCGGGTTGGGTGGCACTAAAACTGGGGGTGTAACAAGTAGCCTTTAATTTTATCAAACGCCTGTTGGCACTCTTCACTCCAATGCAGTGGCACATTTTTCTTCAATAACTTGAACAGAGGTTTACATGTATGGGTCAACTGAGCGATGAATCTCCCAATAAAATTAATCTTCCCTAAAAAACTCTTCACGTCCTTTTGCGTTTTTGGCACTGGCATCTCACGAATGGCTTTAATTTTTGCCGGGTCTATCTCTATACCCTTCTTACTGACAATGAATCCCAATAACTTTCCGGTAGGGGCCCCGAATGCACACTTTGCAGGGTTTAGTTTCAGATCATATTTTCTCAATCTTTCAAATAACCTTTCCAAGTCAATCAAGTGATCCTCCGCTCTCTCGGATTTGATAATGATATCGTCCACATAAACCTCCATCTCCTTATGAATCATATCGTGGAACAGGGTGGTCATAGTCCTTTGATAAGTGGCGCCGGCATTTTTCAATCCAAACGACATTACTCGGTAGCAAAATATCCCCTAGGGCGTGATAAAAGCAGTTTTCTCCCTGTCCTCCTCTGCCATTAAGATCTGGTGATATCCGGCGAAACAGTCAGCAAATGATTCAATCTCATGCCCTGCGGTATTGTCCAGGAGAATATGAATGTTCGGCAACTGAAAATCATCTTTCGGTCTGGCTTTATTAAGATCCTTGTAATCGACACATACTCGCACTTCTCCACTTTTCTTTGGAACATGTACAGGGTTTGAAAGCCAAATGGGATAATGAGACACCATAATAATTCTAGCATTGAGCTGCTTCTCGATTTGCTCCTTAATTTTGAGGCTCATGTCTGGCTTAAACTTGCGAGGTTTTTGCTTTACTGGTGGAAAATTTGGATCAGTTGGTAATCGGTGGACCACTATATCTGTTGAAATTCCAGGCATATCATCATAGGACCAGGCAAACACATCTTGAAACATGGTCAAAAACTCGATCATTTCTTTTCTCTGCTTCTTATTCAAGTGAATGCTAATTTTTATCTCCTTAACCTCAGTCTCAGTGCCAATATTAACAACTTCTGTTTCTTCTAAGTTCGGTTTGGATTTCTCCTCATATTGTTCAAGATCCTTTAATAAAGACTCAGATTCTTCCTCGTTATCGCTCTTGTCTTGAATTTCGGATTCCAAAATTTCAAAGTCGTGAGGGATATCGAGGTCACAATCATCAAATTCCAGAATAGTGATATCCAAAGGGTCAATGTGTTTTATTTTTGGCCATCTGAAAAAATAAAATAGATAAAACAATGTGTAAGCAAATCAATTTGAAAAATAAACGCTGTGCATTTTGTGAGGACCTAGTCCGTTCGTACGTTGAGATTAGGGTTATTCATTATTTTGTACGGTTAAATTAAGGTTTTAGGGCTAAGGAGAAACCCTAATCTCGGCCAAGATTGAAAACCCTAACTTTGCTTATGATAAAACCCTAGTTTATGCGGTATTCTAGTGTGTGTTTTGGCACAAGTAAAAATAAGATTTGTTATAGTTTACAGAGGTTTAACAAGTTTGAAAATGGTTAGTAAACTCTGGATTAGTAAGCCTCTAGTGTTACAATATTAGAAAGCTTAAGAGGAGTTTTATTTATCGCCCGCCTTTTCTACATTTTCTTTATTAGAAAATTTCCCTAGATGATTTTTATGAGTAAATATAGATTTTAGATTATTTTTCTAGTATCGGTTAGTTTTTGAGAAATTAAGAACATATATCGGAAGTGGGACCCACTAGTGCGAAAAGTTCGGAAAAATTCGGCCAACTAGGTTAAGTTTTGGATACTGGATTTCATTTACCGGGTGTTATGAGATAATTGAAGGTTGTTATATGGATGAGAGTGGAGAGAGACAAAGTGATAGAGATGCATTAAATAAGGTGACAAGTGTCACCATAAGATTAACTGTTACAATTTGACTTACTATTCATACTTTTACCATTTTGCTTAAATATCTCAAAAATTTGACCCAAAAATTATCAAAAATTCCTCCATAAGAGCCGGCCCTCTCTTCTTCTCTTTCTCTCTCTCTTACTCCAAGCACAAGGAAGAAACACTTCAATCTTGTTCCAAATCATCAAAACCAACCATCCAACCTTGATTTTGCTCCATAAAACACCTTCAAGTGGTGGTTGTGAGTTGTTTTGTGGATTTGTTTGGAAAGTTAAGGTGGTCAATAGCTCTCTCTCTCTTGTTCTTAAGGTAAGTTGTGAAGAACCACCCTCCTCCTTTAATTGATGCTTAAATCATACTTAGTGGTAGCATAAGATGCAAAGTTATGGTTTATTTCTTGATTTGTGGTTGTAGTGATGAAGTTTTATTATTTTTGGGAATTTTTCTGTTTTAATATAAGCATGATGGTATGGCTATCTATGATAATGGGAAATGGTATATAATAACTCTAGGAGGTGAAACAAGTGATTAATTGCACCCAATTTCTGGTTTGGAAGGAATTTGAGAAAGTTAGGGTTTTATATCCCCAATTCTGTCCGGTTTTGTATCTCATGGTTAGAGGCCGAATTGGCCTTGTCTTAAAACATAAAAGTTGTAGGTAATGATGTTTTAAAGGTGCCTGAAAAATTTCAGGTCAATCGGAGTAGTGTAGAGTGAGATAAGTCGAAATTACTATTGCTGTTCTGGTTTACCCAGAATTGGAAAACTGTGATTGTAATTGGTTGTTTTGGCTAGGAATGCTTCCGAATTGATTGTTGTGGTCTTCTGATGAAATGTAGCCCTGTTTCTAAGCTTTCATATGGCTTTGAAATTTCTGGATTTAGACTTGTGTAGGCTAAGTTATGATGTTTACGCTAGACTGCGTTTTGTGAACCTGTTTTGCGGTTCTGGGATATTGTACTGCATTTTGACCGAGTTATACTTGAAACTAGATTGAGTGGTCTTCTTCAACATTGTAGCCCCTTGAGTCCTGAATATACCTGTAAAATCTCAGGTCAAATGGATTAGTGTACTCTGAGTTATGGACAAAAACCTCAGTCCTGTTTTAGACATTACTTGGTGTACGTTTGGAATTTTAGTTTCTGATCGTGGGTTTTTCCGTGTTGATCATGTACGAACTGGGTGCTGATCCCTTCATATGAAATTTAGATCTTGGTCTCAGCTTCGAAACGGTATAAAGTACGTCAAAATTCAAGTTCCGTAGCTCCTGTTATGACCGAAATAAAAGTGATCGTCAGAACTGCCTTGTATCTGGACAGTTCTGACGGGTACTTTGGCACTCGATTTTTGTTCTGTTTTGAGTGGATTCAGGTCTTGGCCAAAACATCAAAGTTTTAGCCTTATGTCTCAGCTTTCTAATACCTTTGGAATTTCCTGATTTGGAGTTGTGAACTGGGAGTTATGGTCCAGCAAACAACCCTGTTCGTCACCCTAAGACGTAAACTTCTGGTACCGTCTTCCACGATTTCGGCCTGCTTTGATTCAGATCTAGATTAAGGTGTCTGCATGAAAATTGTATCCCTATCTCATAGCTTCGAAACAGTATCTTGTTCACTTTGATCCGACATTCCTAGCCTAACTTTTGACCAAAACGGTTTGAGATGGCAGATTTGGCCGTCCCGTTTGCCGTTCCGCACGTACGCGTGTGCCCCTTTTGCCGTTTCCGCACTTGCGCGTGCCAATTTTGTCGTTTGGCTTGTTTTAAGTACGTTAGTGGCCGTTTGTGATATATTATGACACGATCTTCTATTTCAGACAGTGGTGAGCTAGGCGGAGCCGGTGGGGCCCACTAGCGAACACGTGCGAAGCAATTTTGCTTTTGTACTACTTTTGTATTTTGGGTAAGTATTCAGGCCGCTTTTATGTGTTAGTTGCTTATGTGTTTCGACATGTATGAAGAGGGTACTTAGGCGAGGGTGTACTTTATCGCACTCGCTCTAAACCCGAATTTACGCTCATATTTGTACATGACATATGTATGTGAATCATTTTGGAACTAAAACCCTTGAACTTGTGGCTCGGGGTGATTTTGAATAATTTTGTGAAGTTTGTGAGTTTGGGGCGAGCTCTTGACCTAGATGGACTATTCGAGCCGGTTAGGGCTTGGTCGAAGTCAGTCCAACCTGGTTGGAGGTCACCAAGTTTGTGAATCCGGTTCACCGAGTATGTGGACCAAGTTTGTGACCCGAGCTTGTGACTCAAGCTCAAGTTTGTGATTTCGTTCGCCGGCAAGGTTTGTGAGGTGACTGGCCAGTGAGGGTGATAAGGTGTCGGTGGGTGTACAAGTGAAGTTCTACGGACCATTAAGTGTGGTCGACGGAGTGTCGGCAGGAGATCACGCATGGCATATGAATTGGCTTTGGAGCCACCTGTATCCTTATTATGTGATGTTATTTTTCTGCTTTTGCTTTACTCTTACCATGTCACTGTTGTTACGTGAAATTTACGCTTTTGCCCCTGTTTACTTACTAAGCATATAGCTTACCCCATTCCTTTTGTTTTCCTTAGCAGGGGCCGACGCGGGGACTTTTGGCTCGTACACTAGTATAGTTAGATTGGCTTGTAATAGTTGAACAGTTAGAATGTTTGTTTTTGTTTTGGTGGTTTGTATAAGAACCCTTCTTAGGGTCTATCTTCTGCTGGTGGTGGTTATAGTGTATTAGAATAGTTTGACTCGAGACTTTTGAAGATGTAAATATAACTTTTGGGATTGTATATATTGTATATAGTGATCTTTCGATTTATCTAGTTTTATTGCTTTAAGTTTTGAGTCCTGGCGCGAGTTAGGCAGGCGGCCCGCCGATACCCTTGGGTTCGCCCTTGGGAGAAGCGGGGTCGTCACACATTTCATTGAATTTGAAGGAAAAGGATCATAACATGCGACTTAACAAAAGATTCAACATAAGACTTGAATTGAAAAGTGTGACGCCCCGAAAAGTATGAGTGCGAGAACCTGAAAATTTTCTA